AAAAAAGTAGTAAGTTTTTAAATAAAATAGAGTTAAAAAAATATTAATTGGGTTGTTAACTATTCATTCTGTTCATGTAGGAAAATGAAGGGGAATTGCCAGATGAGATTGAAGAACTTGTGGAGAGGAAAATGATGTTTGAAATTGAAGTTTCAAAATCTCAGGGTGCACTATATGAAGACAGTTTTAGTGTGTCCAAAGTTTCTACTGATCCTGCATTCATTGATAAGCACTCCAATAACACCCCATCTACCCAAGAATCAGTATCCCAACCAAATAATAAAATGGCAGACATTGGAGGGGCAGGGATAGCTGAACATCTACAAGACAAGGTTTAACTAAGTCAAATTTTTTAGTTAATCACTTTTTTCCCAGATTTTCTAGAAATCTGAAAAGGATTATTTGATTGTGCAGGGTGAAACAAGCATCCAAGGAGACCAAATTTCAATTGTTGATAGGCAGGAAGTATTGGGGTGGGATGACAGAAACAAGTTAAAGAGGGACCTCCTGAATGATTTTGAAAGTTCTGACCAAGAAAATTTGAAAAGGCTCAAAAAAACAATCAAAGTTGAAAAGGATTGAAAGCCATTGTTGGAAAGTTGTTTGGGGCAGTGTTCTCATTTTAATCCATTTTCATATTTCCATTTACCATGAGTGTATGAAATAAGTGCTCATGCACAGTGTGTTTTGCTTTTTTCAATATTGAATGTCCTTTCCTTTGTTTCCAACACCTTTTTAAACACCTATCCGGCTCTTACTTGAAACAATAAGTATTAATAACTATGAACACTACATAAGTGTTAATAATAAAATAGCAGCACTGGTTTTCAGTCTTTAGGAAAAATGTACTTGAAAAATAAGCATTATACAGACAGGCAGCACCATACCTGAAGAAGTTTGACTTCCTTTCAAAATAAATGAGGAAAGATTTGTTTAAAGACTTTGAAACTTCAAACATTCCCTGACTTTTGGTTTCAGATATAAAATGTGCAAACTTAAAATGTTATTTTATAATCAATGTCCTGGCAGAGACAATAAGTGTAAGAATTTAATGAACAATTTTAAAAAATTTTGAGGCTTGCAGTAATTTGGTACAAAAGCTAATTGTGTGGACAAAACTGGTCAAGTGTTGCCACCCTTCTGGTCAAGTGTTGCAAACATAATGTGGAACTTCATAATTAAAGTCCTGACAGAAAAATAAAATGGCACTTCATAATTAAAGTGGATTATTTTGGAAATAGGTAATGGGGTAGAAAAAATGGCAAGGAACTGACCCCATTCTGACCAAATATCAAATGCTCAGGGGAAATGAATCTGCAATTTTAAAGAGTTTTTAAAAACCTCCTCATTTAACAATTCCACAATAAACCATCAAAATCTGAAATCATTCAAATGTGCAAAGTTAAAAAAGGTAGTTCACACTCAAAGTCCTGACCAAATCACTGAGTTTAAAAAATTTTAAAGTACTTTTTGGCTGAGTTCTGAAGAGATGTTTCTTCTCTAGGGGGTACATGGACAACTTTTTCATGCTCTGCATCATTCTCATCAAATGTCAGCCGTTTTCGGCTTGCCACTTCAACTTTTGTTTCTCTATCCTTGCCGACATTGATAATGCGCTCAGGCAATACAATATTTTCACACAACCCGTTCAGTGTGCTACTCTTCCTACTTGGCCCTTCAAATTTTTTGACTTGAATACGTGTAATTTAAATTACCTGAAGAATGATTTTCCAAACTATTGCAGGTTCAGCCCTACCTGTAGGTGACAAATGACCCTTCTTTCAGTAATAGAAACAAACAACAAATAGAAGAACAAGCCAAAGAAGTCATAAGATTATACCTAGGAGGAATCTTGGAGATGGTGCCTCATTCCATCTCCAAAATCGAATATAAATAGCCCAACGTGCATACTGAAATAATTGGCCGGGATTATTAAGGGAAGGATCCATAAATACAAGACGAGGAATCAGAAAAATCGTATCAATCATACCAGGAAATCTGCACATTTGATACGCACCGCCAAGAATCTGGAAATCGGGGGTTGATTATGCTAACAATTCGAATCGCCCAAGGATTGTAATCCATTGCTAGGGGACACGCGAAAATTATGCCTATTTCACCGGGAAGGTGTGAATGCTGGACAAGAGGAAATCACCGTACAGCTTAAGGACAACTGGCCATTGTGATATGCAGGAGAATTGGCTTTTGTGATATTCATCGTAATAGAGGAGCAATAAGAATGTCATTCTCTCATTCACATCCAAAAGGCGTCTGTATAGGACAAAATGGGAAGACATGAGCCTCACAAAATACACAACGAACTAACATAAGAATCTCACTTTGTAGTTAAACTGGAAGCTGAATTAAAGCGGTCGAGATATAAAATTTACAAAAAGAAAACAATGATCAGGTTCAAGCAAAGAGAAACTAAAAGAAGCATGAACAGCTGCACAGAATGAATTATTATAGGTCATGAAGTGCCAGCAGGAAAATACCTTACTTTCTGTATATACCCTTCCACTCTTACACACTACACATCCCTAAACCATACTTTCTTAGCCTAAAACCTTACTTTCTGTAAAGGCCATGGTGTAGTTTTGAGGTATGAATAATATTTCATAAATTTTTCAAATCTTTGTACATTTTTTTAATTAAATTGTTAGTGGTATTTTGTATATTTTATCATGTACCGTTTAAAAGTCCATCTTATTGATGACACTAGGAATCTATCATTGGTGTTAAGGGATAAGCAATGCATAAGGATCCTTGGAAAGAAAGCAGAGGAGCTTTTTAAAAAAGTAGTAAGTTTTTAAATAAAATAGAGTTAAAAAAATATTAATTGGGTTGTTAACTATTCATTCTATTCATGTAGGAAAATGAAGGGGAATTGCCAGATGAGATTGAAGAACTTGTGGAGAGGAAAATGATGTTTGAAATTGAAGTTTCAAAAATCTCAGGGTGCACTATATGAAGACAGTTTTAGTGTGTCCAAAGTTTCTACTGATCCTGCATTCATTGATAGGCACTCCAATAACACCCCATCTACCCAAGAATCAGTATCCCAACCAAATAATAAAATGGCAGACATTGGAGGGGCAGGGATAGCTGAACATCAACAAGACAAGGTTTAACTAAGTCAAATTTTTTAGTTAATCACTTTTTTCCCAGATTTTCTAGAAATCTGAAAAGGATTATTTGATTGTGCAGGGTGAAACAAGCATCCAAGGAGACCAAATTTCAATTGTTGATAGGCAGGAAGTATTGGGGTGGGATGACAGAAACAAGTTAAAGAGGGACCTCCTGAATGATTTTGA